CCCCGCGCCTCCAAGTACCCCCCGCGCCCCGCACTCCCCTCTAGCCCCATGGCTTAGAACCGCTACAGTATACCTACTAATACGGCCAAGTTATTTGAAGCGATGGAAGTGGAATTTGAGGACATGGTGGACGATACCGAGTGTCGTTCTGATGTGAGTGACAACAATGCAGATAATGCTGAGAAATTTGTGCAATCTTCGAAAATCCGTGCATTGACCAGTACTAAGCACTGTATAATCAGCTGTTATTATACAGAGTGCAATGATGCTCCTATCTACTGTGCAATGTGCATGATTGAGTTGCGGAATATTGCCGATAAAAGAATGTATCGCGTCAGGAATCACAAAGAATGTTCTTTCTATGCACTAAACTTCAGGTGGTCGTGCCATGAATGTGGAGAAAAAATGTACATTGTATACCCATGCAACGTGTGTCCACTCTGCGCACATGAAAAAACTATTGAAAAGTCGTCCAACGATACTGAATATCTTGTTCGTTTAGACGATGGCAATATAGATCGTGTAGTGAAATTTGTGCAGCCTTCGGAAATCGAAGCATTGAACATTTATACAGATCACTGCATAATCAATTGTTATTACAGAACAAGAGGTGGTGACGACGCCGATGTAGCAATATGTACACATTGCATGGTTTCTCTGCCGAATTACAAGTATTGGAAGAATTCTTTGCGGAATAGAATATTAGCGCTGAAGGAATGTATCTCGTCAGAAAGCACCAAGCCTGTTCTTCTTCTTCCCGTACACCAGGTATCGACCAGTGCTCGATATGCGAAGAGACGACACTGTATTTCCACGCAGCGTGTACCCACTCTGCACACATTGAAAAACTATTCAATGCTCCATGTAAGAGTGCAAGTGCTTCGTGTAAGAGTGCAATAACGTGATTTAAAGACATGGAAAACCACGAGCGAGTGGAACGCGAACTGCTGGAGCAGTGCGACCAGGTCGCTACTCTGGCGGGATGTTTCGCGTGGTTGTAGCGATGCGACGAGTGCATCGAGCAGCTGGAAGAACTGTGCCGTACCAAGCGTCCACGCCTCGCTGTCGGACAGAGACAATCCGCAGTGGCGAGGATCGTGGATGCAAAATCGCAATTAGAGCGACGTTTCGTACACGTTGGTGGCGAGTACGCGGGTAGCAGGTACGCGAGTGGCAACGAGCGGTCTCTCGTATGGCGTGAGATCGAAGCCGCGTTCGAGAGTCGTATAGCGACAGGTGCGGTGATAAACTATAATCATATCGAACCTCGCCGATTTCTCGAAGACGCTGGTGATATAGTGCTAGAGCGAGTGCGGGACGCTGTGGAAAGACACGGTAGTGTAAAGGTGAACACAGCGTTCAACGGTGAGTTCGCGACAAAAGACAAACGCGCCAATAAGAGTATAATTACTAAGAACAGTGAGATTTATCGGTGCACCGATATGCGCGAGTGGTACGTGACGCGCGTCATCGAGCCCACATTAGCGTCGCTGGGAGAGTTTCAGGAACGTGACAGTGGGTGGGAATTGTCGCGAATCCTTAATTTGGTAGTGAATGTGAACAAATTGACTCCCATGCACGCGGGATGTTACGTTGAGGTGCCGCGGGAAATTGTGATGAAACGAGCGGTGATCAGTGTGAAATCCATGGACAATGCGTGCTTCGCGTGGTCAGTGGTCGCCCCTCTGTACCCCGCAGAAAGAAACGCAAATCGGGAATCGTCGTACCCGCATTACAGTACTGTGCTAAATTTTGCGGGTATCGAGTTTCCAGTGATTTTGAAAGACGTTCTGAAATTCGAACTATTGAACGCGGTGTCGATCAACGTGTACGGCATCGAGAACAAACAGATCCTTCCTCTACGACTCACAGGGGACAAGAGGGACAAACACGTGAACGTGCTGTATCTACAAGATCCACGCAACGATGGTGTAGGCCACTTTGCGTGGATAAAGGATCTACCTCGCTTAATGAGCTCACAACTGACAAGAAAGGAGCACAAGAAATATTTCTGTGACCGGTCAGTATAATAAGAAAAAACAAGAAAAAAATATAAGAAAAAACAAGAAAAAATATAAAAAGAAAAAAAATATAAGAAAAAATTATTTTCTCTATTTCCAGATGCCTGCATTACTTCGGCTCGAGCGAGAAATTGCAGATCCACAGCCAGGACTGTCAGAAGATGAATGACTGCGCCATCAGCCTTCCGAGCGAGGACGACAGATGGCTCGCATTCGACAACTACAACAACATGGAGCGTGCACCATTCGTCGTGTACGCCGACCTGGAGTGCGTCCTGCGGAAGACGAAGCCCGAGAAAAAAGACGCATCGTCGTACGAGTATCAGCGGCAAGAAGTATTCAGCATTGGATACTACATGCGATGCTCGTACGATGACGCGTTGTCGTCGTATCAGTTTCGTCGCGACGAAGATTGCGTAGCGTGGTTCGCGGAAGAATTAAAAAATTTGGCGCATAAAATAAAAACTATCCTGTCCACTAACGTTCCCATGAAAGCGCTGTCTAAATAGCAATGGGAGGCGTACCGCACTGCAACGCGTTGCCACATTTGCGAGAAGCCGTTCGCGTCGGACGATACGCGGGTCCGCGATCATTGCCACTTAACCGGTAGATACCGCGGTCCGGCACATACGAATTGTAATCTGAATTACAAAAATTCATATACTATTCCGGTTGTATTTCACAACTTGTCGGGCTACGACGATCATTTCATAATCAAAGAAATAGATATACTGCCGATAACCAAAGAAAAATATATTTCATTTACGAACCATGTAGATAGCACTGTTGCACCCTTGGGTGAAGGATACAGGTAGGGGATTCGCCGAGGACCAGGACTCACAAATAAACCACTCAATACAAAACAAAACACTTTAATAACTTTTAGTAACTCTTTCAATATTCTCTATTAACAATTATATATTATACTTGACATGTATTATTGCGATTTCGCGTCGGCCCGATTTAGGTTTATAAGATAAGTCCGCGTTCGCGTTGACTTTATTAATCGGTCGACTTATATTTTATTCGCGTGAGCTGTTGGCGTACGGGCGTTATCTCCAGTAACAGCTGATATTAGACTCTCTCTCTTTGCCAGTATGTCACGGTTAATATACTTGTTCGAACTGCTGACTGGACTTGTACTTCGGTCAGCTGTTCGAGCGGATTTCGGTTGCTCTCATTTTTAATGT